AAAAGCATTTTTAACCTCTCCAAGCCAGGCTCTGGCAGGGCCATACAAACTGTGAGCTCCCCAGGCTAATGACCTTGAAAGTATCCATTTATCTTGGCCTTTCCCCCCAGCTTGAGATGCCACAGAAAATGTGAGGCTTGCTTTCTTCTTTCCTTTATTTTTTTTTCTTTTCCTTTTTGAGCAAGAGGAATGAATATTCAGGGAATGCAAGCAATATGGAAATTGCTCAGTTTCATCTCTCTGGCTGGAGCTCAGCTCTGAGACCCCAGTGGAAATCAAGACTGAGGGGCAGTTGGTCCTCCTGCCCTAGCAGGCAAAGGACATCATTGCTTTGCCTCCATTACCTGATTGGTCCACACTGGCTCTTCCTTCATTAATCTTCATCAATAACAATATTTACCACCAAAAAACCCCAATTTTCTTATTGTTCTTATTCACTAAAGGCATCTCATAACTTGGTGTGATGTGACAGTCTGAACTGCATTAAAATCCAGACAACAGGTTAGAAACATCCCTGAAATAAATGGAGCTGGTGTACTGTAAATGTTGTTTCCTCAGGGAGAGCAGTGACTCCCTGGAGTGTTTTACTTTTCAAAGTCACGTCTGTTTTCTATGCATTGCCACTGTATGGAAGCCATTGCTTGCCACAGCAGGGTGCTCCCTTTTTATGGGATATACAACTTAGGTGTAAAATAATCCCACATCATTTCCTTTGGTGTTCAGTACAGACAGCTTAAAGTGAAAAGGGAAGTCACGAAAAGCAGCTGACAGCGGGCACAGGCAGAAGCTGCTACTAGGAAACATCCTTCCACTTACAAGGGAAAAAAAATATTTGCCAAGATATTTTCTGATTGCTGAGTGTTTTAGTCCTCTTAGAGATGTGGTGGGCTACAACCAGTTTATTTGCAGATATCCTACAGCAGATCTGGCTGCTGCTCTGCAGCACCTGCGGGCTGGAGCCTGCCTCTCACCTTTGTTCTCAGCCAGTAGAACTGTCTGCTGGGATGAGCATTTGCACTCCAGAGAGAATTTGCTGGCTGCTGCCTTTGAAGCAAGCACCAGCTCGTGTTTCCATTTTAGGCATACATGTAATGTACATCTTAGCTTACTGGGCACACTGCAATGCAATCCAGCCTCGGGAATTCTTGGCTTCCCTCTGGATTCTGATGACTTTATAAAAGGTGGTGTTGCACTGAAGGGGTCCATGGTAGTCATCTCCTGACTCACTGCCACCAGGATGGAGACTCATGAAGACTTAAAGAATAGAAGTTTTATTCCAGAGCTGCCTGCCCAGTGCCAACACTGGACACATGGGTGGAGGACCAGACCAAGGACACAAGACTCAGTGTGACCCTGCATTTCAGGTAAAGGCTCCCCATGGCTCCATGGGCCTGATATGTGTTTTTTTTTGGCAGACCAGGGAGGGTGAGCCAACTCCTTGTACTTCTTCTGTCCCACCTCAAGTGCCTGGCTCTCCAAGTAACACCCCTGATCAATGAGTAAGGCTCAGTTTGGCCAGATACTTCAGTATCAGCTTTAGGGAAGCAATTAACAGTTTGACGGTATTTAGGGAAGCACAACCCTATTCAGGCGACCTGCACAACCAGATCATATTTAGCTTGAATACAACTGTCAGAGTCAGGCTGCTTTAAAAGTACCTTTATGGTATGCAGGTCCAACTATTTCTTTAAAAATAAAAATCCCATCACAGTAAAAGAAATGCCAAAACCTTTTTGAAGCTCTTTAACACAGTGAATAAGAAATCAAGAGTTGATTTACATAACAGAGATATACATACGTATTTATACGTGAGTGTACATTTGCATGAAAAGCATGTGCAGAGAATTCTAAAAATAGAAGACATTTCAGAGGTTTGTAGGCAAGTAAATCTTTTATATTTTATTGCTTCCCTCCAATTAATAGTTTAAATTAAAACCCAGTCCTCCTGTCTTCTAAAGTCTGCAAGCCAGTGAACCACAGATTTTCCTACAAACACCTCCTTCTAATTCCTCCACTGAAGGAGCAACCAGGAACTCCCACTGCTAGCAAAATGAAGGTCAGTAAAGGAGAAATGCCTTTGTCTCTAGTCTTGCAGTTCTCCTAAAATGAAATTCATCCCTTAATTTGGAGAGCAATTTTTCTCCAAAGAAGGTAGGAAAATGATAATAGTTCCCTGTGAAACACTCACTATTTTAAGATGAAAATGTTTGGACCTTTGAGGTATCCAAGCAGAAATGGGAGGAGGCTGGAAACCAGCTCTTGTGAACTGTGCTCCAAATACTTAAAACAATGCTTAACCTCAAGCTTAGGCATACCCTTACTGGCTCAGGTGGAGTGGCTCTCCTACTTCATGGTAAGCGTATGTTTAACTGCTCCTCTGGGTCAGAGCCCCAGTTAGCACACAAGATCTAATTTTATTCTCAGTTACAGCTGCATAAGACTATATTAAGCAAACCACTTTATACCAGTAAAAAAAATTAGATTAAGCTTTGGCTCAGGCTAGAAAGGGAGAGCATGACACAGAAAAAGGTATCTTGTTGGATGCTACTGCCTCTGTTATGTCCATACCCTGATAGCACTTTGTCCTCTCAAAACACCTCTGCTCCAACCTTGTCTCTCTCAGACCAGTCTAATTTCTTCTGCAAAACAGCCTCTCAGCAGAAAGTGTTTGCAAGCTAGTAAGAAAATGCCGTGACCGTGGATCCCCCAATTCCTAAAACAAAGCCTGTTAGCCAAAATCTACACAAATTCATTAGTAAAATGCATGTCCTGTGCTTGTGTCTGTGAGTAACCACATTAGTGTCACTGTAATCTCTATTTCTTCATCCTTCACTTCTCCATCAAGCCCTCTAGATCTTGATCTCAATGCTTCAGACACCAGGTCGTATTACTCAGGAGCAAAGTCCATTGACTTCAGTTCAGCTTAAGTGTGTTCTTACAGCCCCTGTTTAGTAAAGCACCCCTTTTAGATGAGCTACACTAAATTATCCAGAATTACACTAAATTATCCACTTACAGATAAATTCATGCTTTGGTGTTTTCCTGAAAAAAAATTAACTTAAACATGAAATCAAGATTATGACTGAGAATCTTCCCCACCCAAGGTGCAAGCTCTTTGGAAGATCAGCCTTTAAATATTTTGTACCTCAGTACAGGCAGCTGCCTTCTGCATGCCAGCTTAAAGTACCTCACATACTAGATCTGCAAACACCAGCCAGTGCTAAAGTATTTCGCTTGCCTGTCATTTGCACCTGTAAAAGTCAGGGGTAAATCCAGGAGAGATTATTAACGGGAAGTGAGATGATGGCCAGTTCAGTGCTCCCAGCTTTCCTGCTTACTGGGAGCTGCAGAAGGACTGGGAGATCCCATCAGCACAGCAAGGCCACCAGGTTTGACCAAAAGTCCCAGAAGGCTCAGGGTTGGCTTGGCCAAGCGTCCAGGAGCTGGTATGTGTGATGCACTGTCAAACAGGCTCAGGTGACTGCCACTGTGGCTGAGAGATGATGAATGCACAAGTTAAAGCTGACATGTGGTTTACCCCAATCTGTAGCAGAAGCCACTCTGATTTTTTAAAATATAATTTTGTCTTCATACAAGGAAAGTAGGAAAAAGCAGCATGAACAGAGGCACAATTTAAGATGAACAAAGCAGAGTTCTTGTTTGGAGCGCTGGCAGGAGCCCAGCATCTCTCAGGGCCAGACACTGGGGTCAGTCCTGTCTGGCTTTCCCTGCCAGGGAAGGACAAGGAGCTTTAAATTTTATTAAATATAGTTAACTAGTTAACTTTTTTTCCTCTTAATGGCTTACCTTTTCTTTTTTTTTTTTTTTTTTCCTTTTTTGCAAATGGCATTTCTGGTTGTGCTATGCAATATAAGCCAGAGGGTTTGTAGAATTACTGGTAGGACAGCATTGATGTGGCAAGCCAAAAGTTTGAAGAAAAATTCATGCATGCACGCTCCTAAATATGGATCTACATGGTTATTTTCAGCCAGAGTCTTGCACATCCATAGTTCTGGGTTAGAAAACATAAGTCCCAGGTGAATGCATTTGGAGGATCTCTGCCATCTGATGTGAATGAAGGCCCCTGTCACAAAGTCATCTGTATGACCTACTTGCTTCTTGCCGCTAAGGAATTGTCCAGGACTCATGTAACAACTTCAAACTCAGGCACATTCCTCGAGCTGTGTGAGGAAGCTTGCACATTGCCTGACCACATTATATCTGCCTCTAGGCAGTGTTATCACTCCTTCCCTTCCATATGCTTAAGCAGAATTTTTACAAAAATAAATGAAATACATATGTACATTATGCAAAGAGTGTTCTTGAGCCGTGCTATATTTGGTTTTGCATGATACGTATCCAGCGTGTAGACCATTGGCACTCGTTTTTTAACTGTTAGAGATAAGCAGAGTCACAGTAAGCTATAAAAGAGTGTAAAATATGCAGGGCCTGATTCTCCAGCTCGTGGAGGCCCCTTTACATCACGCTGGCACTGCACTGGAGTCTAAAAGCAAATGCACATGTGACTGGAATCCACTTTCAGGCTCTTTTATACTGCCAAAAGAGCTTAAAGTTGCCTGAATTCAAATGAGATTCAGATGCTTGTAGTACAAGCCAGTAGCCATCATTAAAATCTTCATTAATGCTGCTGCCCCTCTGCCCCCCAGCAGTGGGGTGAGCAGCAGCAGTTGACCCTGGGCATGAGGAGGTGCTGGAATATTGGGGAGCACTGTCCCTGTCACTACCCCTGGGGGTGTGGGGGTGTTTCTGTGACCAGACACAGGGAGATGGATGCAGTGGGTGCCACCACAGGCAGGGAGATGCAGGGACAGATGAACAGGGTGTACATGGGCAGCTGAACAAGGAGGAATATGTGGGGCTGAACACCCCACTTTTCCCAGATGGCTCCATGTCCAAACTGGGATCCATATTGCCTGAGTCTCCCTTTTCATGGCTGGTTTTTCATCCTACAAAGAGCTGACACAGAGCAAGCTGTACGTACAAGTGCAGGTACACCCGCCCTTAGTTTTAATCATTCAGCGCCAGCCAAAGTGGGAGGGACAGGAAGACTCTGCCACCTTCCCGCTCTCCCTATGGCAGCCGCCTCCACCTCGGCCCAGGTTGGATCCAGCCACCCACAGTGCAGGCTCTGGCTCCGAGCACCTCATCCTAGGGCCCAGACACAGCCGCTTCAGCATCCAGGAGGGAAACCAGAGCTGCTGGCTCGTGACTGGCGCACAGATCACCAGTTCATTACTCTCTCCTGTGGAAAAAAAAAAAAAGAAGTTGGTTTGCATTTAAAGTGTTGGGGGAAAAGAATTTTTTTCTTTCTTTCTCTTTTTTTTCCTTTTTTTTTCCTTTTTTTTTTTTCTTTTCCAATCCCCAAAGTCACATGGCCAGACTATTTTAAACATTCCTGGCTATTCCCCCATGCACCAGCTCCCTTGGCTGGCACTGGGGTATTCTCAAAGCTCGGGTAGGAGAGTAAACTCTGCATGTATAATTTATCCATTGTAAAGGATGCAAAATCTACTGGGAACAGGAGGGGATAAGAAAGAGCGAAGACACTTGTGGATGCCAAGAATTCCAAGTGCCAGACCTTGCTAGCGCTTTTCCAAAATGGAGGGTCCTACACGGCTCCCGTTTAGCTAGAGCTGAGCCTAGCCTTGCCTGCTGTGTTGAGATTTGGCAGGCTACAGCTCGCCATTGTTGCGAGCTCTCATCCAGGCGGTGGTGCCAAGCCTTCCCTCCGGCTGCAGCCCTTCCAGCGCATGCTAATCCCCTAGTATCTGCCTCTCCCAGATCCAGCAGGGACACCCTTCAGAGCTAGGGAGGGAGAGGGGAGAGTCCTCTCTGCAGACAACCCTTTCCCAGCAAGCGTCATGAAGAAGCCTTATTTGTTAACCCTAACAAATTGCCACTATCAACATAGCAGAGACATTACAAGTAAGCAGGAAATCCACTCACCCCTGGCTCTAGAGATGGGCAGCTCAGAGCTTACTCTCTTACCAGGGAAAGCAAGGATGGCACAGTGAAGCCTAACTTCTCAGGCCATCTTTAGTTTGAAGCTTCTCCCCAGATAGCCTGCCTATTTCTCCTATGGTGGTGTCAAAGTGGATGCAGCCAGTGAGGGATGTTCATCCCAGCATTCCCAACAAGAGCAGGTTAGAAACTCTGCACTACCAGGTAGCCCAACAGCACTTGGCCCTTCTCCCCTTTATCACATGCACCTGGCTCAAGCACAAGAGGCAACTGCCCCTTCCCTTCAGCAGAAGCACTCAGGGCCCATGAAAATTCTCATTCAGGGCAGGAGTGAGGGATGCCACAACCCTCAGACTGTGGGAGCACAAAAGAGCACCCTGCAGCCTCCAGTCCATAGATGAGGCCAGCCGTCCCTAGGGCTCAGCCTTCATAGGCATGGGGGCTCCAATGCCATAGTCGTGCAATTGCTGTAATTGTCTAGGTTTTCATTTTTAACCCCATTCAACACTGGCATTGAACTGCATTTTTCAAAGTGTGAATTTTGCAAATGCAGTAACTAAGTTCTGGATGCTGTCACCACACCCTGGCTGCCATCCCAAAGAAATTCCTGAGGGAAGGGATGCAACAACTCCCCACTGCATCCGAAACTCATTCAAGAGCAAAACAGGGTCCAAGGCACTTGGCCCTCCTGCCAAGTCCTCTGCTTATTCCTGCAGAGTGGTCTGAGCTTGGGCTTTCTGGCACCCCAACACAGGGAGGCAAAGGGCCTGCCATGGGTGCTGCAGTGCTGCGGTATCTCCAGCCCTGAGTGGGGACACATATCTGGGCTACACCACAGAAGCTTCAGGAGTTGGGGAGGAGCCTCCACAGAAGTGACTCCTCTGCGCCATCGAAGCCCTTGACCCTGAGCAGGATGGAAACAGCCCATGTGAGTGATTTTCAGAGAAAAGGATTCCTTGTGCAAAACAGGTATTATGTCAGAGCAGGCTTTTAAACATCTATGCATCCATAGATGTTTAAAATTTTAAGACCAGAGTGCTGCTGATATGACCACAGGGATTGGAGTTGGCTTGAGCCTACTCCAAGGCATTGATGGCTACCCTGCCAGAGGGGCGGGAGATCAGTTCAGCCTCTCTGTCCTAGTAAAATCTGCCTTTTCCATCTGATGTGATCCCCACTTCATGTCAGCAAAGCATCTGCTTTTTTCTAGCACCATCACCATGATTCCCCAGCTACATGTGAAGTGGTGGCTTTTGCCACATCTGTCCTCCACGGGCCTGCCTGATAGTGTTTTAGACAGTCCATGTGTTTTAGACAGTCCATGGGTGTCACAGGTGGAGTGGGAGCTTCAGCCGAAGTTTAATTAAAGAAACCCTGCTGCTGAGTCACAAGTCACTTTGCTTTCTGAAGTTATTCTCAGAGAGAGGAGCTTAGGGACAGGTGGATCTGATTTTAGACTCAGACTGTCAATGGTTTAAACTTTATAACTTTGCCCCACAAGTTTTAATGATGGCAAATCAGATGTATTTATAAAAGATAAATAATTTATTAAGGCAAATGAACAGTCCGAAGATCTTTATCAGAATTACTTACTACACAGTATAAAAGCTAGGCAACTGTAGTATAACATATATGGTATAGTACACTATATTAAAGCAATTATATTAAATCTAGCAATAGAAACATTAAGTTGAGGTTGATGTATCTCACCACATTTCTCTTCATGGAGTACTTCTTCCTCTTTCAATCTCTGAGAAGGAATCACAAATAGGTGTCCCCAAACCCATGGGAAAAACTCCACACTTCCCACTTCAAGAAAAGGATGTGGAAGAATCTAACTTGTATGAAAGTATATTAGACTTTTATAGCTTAAAGAAGCTGGCGGCGAGTCATAGGCCTCCAGGTCAGTTTAGCAGCTTATCTGTCAAGTCTCACTTCAAAGGGACAGATGTGTGTTTGAAGCTGGTAAGCCAGGCCAGCCTTTTAGCATATTCAACACCAAAAAACACCACAATGGTGCCATGGTAGCTCCCCATAGAGAGCTTGCATTGCTTTGTCTTCTGACCAGATTCCAGGCCAAGCAGATCAGCTTTTTCAAGGCAAAGCATCCTACTGAAACAGGAATCTGTGCTGCAAATGAAGCCATGCTGCACCCCTTTACCCCTGCACTCATGGCCCAAGATTTAGCTCAGTGCCTACTAAGGTTCTGGTGCCAGGGTGCAGGAGGACTTTCACCCTGTCCCCAGACAGTGCAGAAAGGGCTCCCCTCCACTGAGGTGCCAAGGATAGCGAGGGAGCCCCTGCCCCAAACACCCCTTGCAGGGCCTGCCTCCAGCCTTGCTGCTTTTATCATGGCGCTGGGAAAGCCTTCCCACATGTTTCTGCTGAGTCACTTCAAAGATCTCAGCTTAATGTCCCCAGGTTGCACTTACTGTGGGAGTCAGTATTCCTGGACTACCCATGTCTGTCCTGTGCTGTCTGGGGAGGCCAGCCAAGGCAGGAAAATGATTCTTTATTGTCATATTTCACCTCAATAATTAGCAGTAAATCTATGAACTAAACAGAACAGCACCTCTGAGGGTAAACTCTGTAGTAACTTGCATTAGTCCAGCTTCCAGTGGGACAGAAAGGGAGACTTAGCAATTAAAAAGAACTTGCTTCATAAAGAAAAACAATCAAAGGCAATTTGAATGAGTCACACAGCCCTTTTGAGGGAAGTCTGCATCCTTCAGGAAGGGCAAAGCACTACACAGCCTGGCTGAACCCTTAATTGCAGGCTATCAGGTACCATACATCTCCAAACTTTCTGAAGTGCAAGAGGTGGTGTGATGGGAATAGATAACACACGAACATCACAGGCTGGGCAGAGCAATGTGTAAGTGCTTGGCTCAGAATCTTCCTGTGTATCCAGATTGAGAGGCTGCAGTACGCCGGATGTCAACAGAGCAAGGCCATCCTGCAGAAGGTGCAGGGGGTTCACAGATAAAGCAAGTTAATTTAATCTAATTGTTAGAAGCCAGCTAACTAAACTTAAGTTCCCTTAGAATTTCCATTAATGGCTTATGATAAATCAAAAATCTCCAACAGCCTCTTTAAAAAGAGAAGGAGTAACCAATAAAATTACAAATTAGACCAGTCTAGAAAAATATGTCTTTGCTTACTGACTCAGTGGAAACCAATTGAGCATCTTCTTAAGCAGAAAACAGATAATAAATACCATCTTGAGAGATTTTCCCAGATGTTGGTTAAAGTTGAGTCTGCAACTATTGAAATCTCAGTTATAACTGTTTATTGTACAATCTGCACTTCAGAAATAAAAAACTGCACTGTGTGTCCCATGAATACAATGACTCATGGTAAAAACAAAGGGCAGCCTCTAAATGATGTGCAGCCCCAGGCTGGTGAGGGCAGCCTCACCTTCTGCGGGGTCACCTAGCCTGGGAAAATCTGTCCTGATGTGGAAGCTCTGGTGGGTTTTGTCCAGGCAAGATACGGAGGGGAGCAGGATGGACAGCCCTCTAAAGCATAGACCCTCTGCTGCCACCAGGGACCCCCTCCAACAGGGCTGTGCAAGTCTGGCTTGACAAAATACATGAAGCAGGATGGGAAGTGCATGTTTGTGGAAGGCCATCACAGTGAACAGGCCTGTGTGATCACAGCAACAGCTTCCAGGGAGGTCTTTGGCCAAAGCCTTCATCACCCTGGTGAGCTCTGCAGCACCCTGGAGCCTTGCAGAGATGTAGCCAAAATGGAGCTGGAAAATCAAATATCCTCATCATTGTCATGTTCTTGGGATGCAAATATGGCATATGTTCATTCCCAAATACACAAAAGGAATATTTACTGGTTGCAAAGCCCTTTTTGTATATGTCTTGGTTTGGAAAGACAGGAGTCTGTGAAGGAAGGCAAGACCCTCCTGTGAAATGGAATAGGTAAACCCCCTCTCTCTGAATTACCACAACTTCAAAATTAAAAGGCTCTCAGGCAAATATATGGGAATGGCAATAACAGTTCTTTACTAAGGAAAAGAAAATAAATTTAAAAAAAATGTAATTAGTACAAACAAAACTACTGATAGAGTCAGAAACCTGACACCCTGAGGAGTGAGGGTGTTGGTAATAGTCCAGTTAAATGGTGGCTGCTCCTCCTGGAGTGGCAGATGAAATGCTGCTGAAGCGGTGATCTCTAGAAGGGTGGAGTTTTCTCTGAAGGTCTGGTGATGGAGTAGATGGGTCTGGTCTTCCTCTGGGGATCCAGCAGGGAAGAAGCTGCTCCTCTGGGAATCCAGCAAAGGGACTGCTCTGATGTCCCAAAAAGTGCTGATTTTATGCAGGTAAGAATGCTTGGCTCCTCCCTCTGGGTGAAGCATCTCGCAATGGGATAATGTAACTTTACCAGTCATGCAGTGAGTCATTCAATGGCCCATTAACAGAAGATATCTCCCCAGACATTGTTCTTGGAAGAGATAACAAAACTGCCCAACCTCCAACAGATGGCAAATAGAATACATGCTTATCTTACAATCCAGGACAGTATAATGTTTATAATTTCCATTGAGTGATACAGTGTCATTCTCTGCTATTAATATGTTTTTAAAACCCCCATATTAATAGTCTTTAACTACAACTTTATATAATTTTAACCCATTATTTTTTATTTTTCCAGTTCTCTGCTGTTCCTTGCCTCTTGGCAACATTCATTACAACCCACTTTCCATTCTTCTGCTGATGTATTTAAGTCCATGTTACAAAACACTGAGATTCCCAGACACATCATGGTCAATGTGGGAGTGATTAAAATGGGAATAAAACCATGAAACCCATCTCTCCTGTTGGCCATTCCTGAATGGCCAATATCCAGTGTCCAGGGAAGACTCCACAGCATCTTGTCGCTTATGTGTATGTGTATGTGCAAACATTCATATGTAGGCACACTTCACATATAAACCTCATAAAAATATTTCTTTAGAAATAACTTTGGTTTTATTCCTTTCTAATTGGTTTGGACATAACCTCTCAATCCTTTGAGTTTAGGGATTTGGGCATTTAAGAAAATATTTTTCAGCAATAACAATTAACATTTTTCTTGTTTTCTCTGCCAGGTTATTCAGCCCATAATCTCTATCAATGTAAGCACCAAATGTCCCTAATTAGTACTGGGTTTTAACTTTTCTTTTTGCACCAAAAAAATGAAGTCATGATCATCTGGTACCTAACCAACTGCCAACTTTTATTTCCATTCTTCATTTCTCCATCTCTCAAGATGCCATCCACTGGAGGACCCCTCTGGGAGCAGCAGGGCCACCTTACTTAGGAGATGGCCTCTCCCAATGCCCAGACCGCCTACCTCCACCACGGGCACTGCAGGAGAGGACCTGCAGAGGCTTCCCCCATGCTCAGTCATGCTCAGCTGTGGCCATGTCAATTCAGCAGTGTCTGTGGGGCTGCCAGCACTCACCTGGTTTGCAAAGTAGCAGCCTTGGATCCTCCATGCCCTCCCTGGCAGAGTATTCTAGCCCCGAGGATCATGGAGGCAAAGATTTGCTGCCTTCCATCAAGTCCCCCAGCATGGCTGCTTGCCTCACTGGGCTCCAAGTGAGGAGGGAGACTCCTCTCCCCTTTAATCCCTCGGCCACAAATGTCTGGGGGCTGCTGGGCAGCTGGCAGGCACCAGACCGACACCTGTGTGCCAGATCTGTCCAGCTGTGCTCGTGACACACCATCCATCTGCAGCACTTCTCACGTGCTGCTGCCAGTTTCTTTCCCTGGGGCCAGCTGGAAAGGGAGACAGGGTCGGTGGGAGCGAAGGAGCAACTGGAAAATCTTGTAACAATGCTTTGCATCCAAATTGCTTTCCTCTTGTTGTCTCCTTGCACGGGGCAGGATTCATGGCTATTGTGACCTGAAGGTGTCGAGCCCAATGGGGCCAGGTGGTGCTGGCTGCTCCCTCCAGGGCCTGGGGCTGTGTTGCAGAATATTCCTGGTGGCTCCTTCCAGGTCAGCAAGGGTCTCCCATTCAGATAATATGGCTGAGATCCCTGGTGCAGCTATCAAACACTTTGCATGGCTCAGGCACTCCAGGGATAAACTGTGTGATTTGTTTTCCCTGCCTTGCCCTGCTTTATGCCCAGAACAGTCAATGCCAGCAGCAAAACTTCCCCTGAGTTTGCAAGTACCAGCTGTGGGCTCAGGGCTCTGGGTGGGCAGCATGGGAGAAGGAGACCATTGTTCTTCTGAATTAATTTTGGAGTCTCACATTCACTGGAAACTGAGACCTACATGATTTTCCTCAACTTCAAATACTCACAGAAAATGAAACAGTGCTTGAGCAGTAGTGTGCTCTTGGAGATTTGATGGAAAAGCTTTTTGTGACTGTATTGAGGGTCTCTGACCCACCACCTGGCACGCACAAGGCCTCTCTCTTGGCATGTACCTCCCAGGGTGGCCATACTCTGAATGTCCACCTCTCACTTGGGCACATGTCCAGGCAGTTACAAAGGGCCTAGCAGAGAAAGAAGGATACTCCAGAAAAGTGCAAGATGTGGATAACTTGGTATGAGCCAGGCAAGCAGTCACAGCATGTACTGGCAGTGTCACCACAACCTTGCTTAACCCCTCTCGGAGCCAGGCTGAATGGTAATTAAAGGGAAGCTGGGTGCCAGTAAGCTGGTGATGTTGCTGCTGATCTGCATCAGTTCATTGGAAGATTTAACAAAGAAAACACCTTTGTCTTCCTCACTGCATTTGCTGCAGCAGAGGGGTTCACCCCTCACTGCCATGAGCCACCCTCCCATTGCTCACCACATGCTGGGGCACAGTGAGGCATTTGCTGGCACGAGGTCCCTGGAATGGACAGATGGGAGCAGCCAGAGCAGCACTTAAGAACCTGCCTCTCCCCTGATGGGAATCCTCAAGTTTCCAATGTTTTTCCACAAACTCATCCACCACCCAAAAATTCCTCATCCTGCTCCTGCTTTTGTTTTGCAATCAAAAGACAGGAAAATTCCTCCTCCTACCACCCCTGCCCTGAATGGAAAAGTTCCTTCCCCCACGTTCACTGCTGCACTTCCCAAATGCCTTTTGCTTTCTTGCTTTTCTTTCAATACTTGCCCCGGGTGTCTCGTGTGGGTCAAACATGAACTCACTGGTTCCTACGTCATCACATTCCCAGCTCAGCACATCCTCCTCCTCATTGTCATGCAGAGCATAATTTTCACCTGTTATTGAAAATTCAATATTGGGAGATTTTAATTCCAAAGATTTTGATTTTTCAATAAAAAAGTGAAAATTAATCTCGGCAGGATTGCAGCAGAAACATTGCAAATGAGCTGGTCACATAAGAGCACAGAGGGGAGAAAGAGAAGGACAGAGTGAAGGAGAGGAATACACAGAGACTGCCCTTCCAGAAAAGAGCTTAAATAATTCAGGTGAAAAATATGACTGGCAGCAGTAATGTAGGTTTTTGGGCTGCTGTGCACAATCCAATGAAATACAGTGCTGCTTGCTTTCTGCCCTGCGAGTTGGCTGGACCTCATCTCACTGCCTCAGCATCCCTGATCACCCTGCTTACTTCAGTGCTCATGTGCCAACAGCTCAGTTTGGGCCTTTCGTGTATCAGGGTCCCCAGATTTTGCAGTCATTCTCTAGCATGTCTGTAAGTCCTTGTCAGTATTAACCTCATTAAATAGCATGGGACTTTTCTAACAGGGTTAATTTGATTGGTTAAAACAACAGAAAAATGGTGTTTTTTAAAAAAGAGTCTAATAACCAAAGTTAAATATGGGCCTTCTTCCCCTATTACTTCTAATAAAATAGCTTATATTAAGTATTATTATATTTATTTTTGGTCTTTATAGCTGAAAATCTCAGTGGAAAAAAGGGAAGGTGTTGGTCCTTTGTTAGCCATGAATATATTTTTTCTCCTAGTTCTAGTGCATTACTGGAGACTTGTCTCTTACCCAGATGAAAATCTGAAGTCTCATCTTTATGTGGACAAGCAGAAATCAGCTTGCACACAGTAAGGGTAAAACACAGCTCCCCATCTTTTTCCTCACCCTTTTGTGGATGGATCCCTGCTTCTGAGAGCTCTGCACAGCCCCATCCCTTCCCCCAGACACCCACCCACCCCTCCATCTCTCCCTCCATTCATGCTTCCATCCGTCCCTCCTCACTGCCTCTCGACAGAGTCACCTGGGCAGCGACTCCTGTGGGTGCCTCCCCCGGGCTCACATCCAAACTCTCTCTCTGCTGCTTGCAGATTCTTCCTGCATAACATCTCTGAGATATGGCCTTCCTTACCCATCTGTACAGCTAAAACTCTTGTCAAGACTCTCAGCATTTCACATCTCAATTACTGTAAAATCCTTCTCCTTGCTTGGCAAATGCAGCCTCATCCAGCGCTTCCTACTCCATCTCCCTGCCCAGCCACTACCATATCCGCCAACCACAGCTTAAAATCATTTATGCTCAAAAGGATCACACACAAACACCTCCTGTAAGTTATTTTTCTTGCCGGCGATCATAAAACAACAGTGATGGCACACGCTCCCATCTGGATGTAATTTTACAGGTGCAGCCCTTGATGTTAGGAGTGGTGAGCAGGAGCTGGCTCACACTTCTCACGTCACACCGAGATCAAATAAAGCACCTGGGGCCAAACTCGGCCGTGAAGTATCCCTGCCTTTAGCTCCTGCTGGGAATGTTGTGAGGGTGCTGGCTGTGGATCAGAAAGGCCCTGTCCTGCAGTGGCACATGCCATCCCCCAGCACTGACCTGTCTCCAGCCCTACACCCCCTACACCACCCGCCTTTTGCCAAGTGGGAGTTGCATCCCATGGATCAGCCCTTTCCCCTTCCCGTGTGGGTTTCATACTTACAAACCCTTTTGCTGTTGCTCTGTAGATTCTTATGTTTTCCTCCCTCATCCTCTCTTCCCTGAGCTGCTTTTCTTCTTCCTTCTCCTCCTTCTGTTTCTCTCTTCCCCTCCAGCTCTCCTCCACCTTGTGAGGAAGCCTGGAGCTGGCTCCCGCATTTCACTCCTATTTATTTACATGTCTGTGTGGCTTTTTACTTGGTGTTTTCTATTATGAAGATGACAGCAAACTGAGAGCTTAAACAAATTTGGCTCTAGGTGCTTTAATGAAAAATTAACAGGTTTAATACTGGCTTCACCACCAAAAGAAGAACATTAATATTTAATATTTAAACAATGCATCTTCACCATAATTCCATCACATTTCACATAGAGAACCCACAGTAAATGCCTGGGGTAAAGCAATAAAAATCAAAAACTGTAACACTGTTTACTATTTTAACCATATCTTTCACAGATTATACAATACTCCTTTACCAAAATAACAAAATAATTTTTTAATGACAACTCACCCTGTCCTCTGCCATTGCAAAAGGTAAAAAATATTAGATTTCAGATCACAGTCCTGGCTCCTTAAGCCTTTTTAAGACCAAGGATATGAAAATCTTATGCAAATGAGTTGCCCTTTAAATGTATCTTTAGGGGAAAAAAAAATGCAACAACACCTCACTGAAGAATGATTGAGTTGACATTTCATCTACAGCACATGCTGTCCAGGTAGAAGTCTCAAAGAAAATCTTCAAATGATAAAGAGTGGCTCCAGCACCCATAAATTTGTAACATCTCCCCACATGGCTCTACTAAAGGGGTTTCTTGCCTTAAAATTGGGCTCTGCTTTTTGTGGTGGTCAGAGCATCACCCCACGTGTGTCTGGACTGCCTCAGCTAGGAGCACCTTTCCTGGAAAGGGCAAATCTATCATGAGTGCCGGTACCTTGGGGCAGATGTTTATGGTGACACCTGGCCTCAGGACGAGTTGTGAGTTTGCTCTCTCTCCATTTTCCCTTCAGCTGAGGGACAAGACTTCTGTATGCTCAACATTTATGAATAACCTTTTGACTACTCAGGGCTCTCCCTGATACAACGTAAACAACTTGAGAAAAAAAACACCTCACAAAGGAGGAAACATCAATTACTTTGTATTGTCTGGAAAGGCTTCAAGACACACCCTTTGCAGGTAAAATGAGAATGATTTCTTAAACTGACAGTATTTAATTGGAGAAAAGATTCTCATTTCAGTAAACCTTCATCTATAAAAAAGCATGATCCAGCTGGGTAGCAAGAGAACAAATCACAGGCGCTGTAATAGAGAGGAAAGAATCTACAATGCTTCCAAATACGTATTACTGGAAAATAATTAAATAGTACCCTGGTAGGAGACATCATGTTTTAAGTAGATAAAGAGGAAAGCTCTGTTGACATGAGCCCAGAAATAAAGCAGAGGAGGAAAGCTCTTAAATATAAAAAAGTAATTAAAGAAGTTACGTGTCTGCCTTGATCGTACTTCCAGAAAGTTTCTGGGTCATTTGTCCATGCAGTTTTCCTGCTTCCAAATCTAAATTCTGCAGCATAACAGCTATTAGACAAGAAGAGTTGGACAGTGATGCAGACAAAGCTTCTGAAGCCAAGACAAAAAACATCTCCTGACAATGCTGATTAAAATGTCTCAGTGCACTTTACCCAGCACACATAAGAAGGTAAATACATCATTAGAAAAAAACACTGGAATGTGACTTGCTCAGGCACAGAGCTGGGATCCCTGCTTGCATGAACCCCCTGGTAGCCCATTCACCATGAGGTCACGCATTAGGGTGTTTTGATTCCCCAGGTAAAAGATGTTAAGATCACAAATGTTCTTCTAAAAGCTGCCATGTCCAGAAAGTCATGGAGTATGTGTGCTGGAGGTCAATGTTGTTTTTAATTATCTGTCTTCCTGGAGCAGCTTGGAGAACTGTTTGTATGAAGCCTAATAACTTCCAGGTGTCACCCCCAAAGTCCTGATGTCCCAACACAGCCAGAGTCTTCTTGATGATGGCTCCCACACACCCTGCTCTCTACAGCATTACCCAATTGCCTTTTTGGTTCTGCAGCTTTCTGTAATACCTTCAGTTTTCCACAACCTGAGAGCATTTCTTCCTGCTCTCCTCCCTGCGAACTGTGCCCTCCACTCCCAGTAGAGCCGGTTTCCCTCCCCCAGGCAGGCTGATGGGTTCTGGCTGGGGGCCATTTTGGCGGGGTGGGAGGAAGCACCCTGCTCAGATCACAATCAAGTGGAGAACATGCCGTCCTGTAATTATGCAGTTGTGCATGGCACAGCGCAGAGGGTCCTGCAATTCAAACTGCAGCTGCAATTCTAATCACAAGTAAAATGAGTAAATTTTTCAAGGAAACAGTGACACACAAGCCCTGGCTGCATGATGCCTAATTCCACTTTCCTTGGCTGCAATTTATTCCCCTAGCTATTGCTGCCCCATCTGTGAGGTCTTCAGCAGGAGGAAGACCTCATGTTGAGGACCTCAGAAGGGCAATGTGGGGACACACTGCGATGCTCAATAAACTTGCCTCTGTGCTGAATGGCAGTTTTGTAACAGGCTCAGATTCTCAACGGTCTGTGTCGCATTCAGCAGCAGCATTACATGTGCAAGATAAAGCCTTTTAACTCAGCTTTCTCACACGTTTCCAGAAATTTTCACTTGTGGCAAGTACTATGAGAGGGAGATGCTGCTTCCCTGCAGGGGCAGGTGATACCTGCTAGTTTAGGATGGTTTCCATTAGCATGCGAGGCCAGGAAAATGTCAAACTAGGAAGGAGAAGAGGAATGGCCTCAGATGCACTCGCTGCACTACTCTGGTAGGAAAAGCATTTACTTCATTCAGTTGCTTGTCACAGCTTTTTGTGTTGGAGCCATACACAACTATGCGTTTAGAGCCAATTTTTGCACACTCTTGCAGGCCCTTCACCTTGGGGACAGGAACCTGGACTTGCTGTTGGTGTGCAGCACAAATAAACAGGGTTTTATCCAATAACTTCTTACTGTTTTGTAAGTTTGCAAAGAGCTTCACATGAAAGCCTACATTGTTTTGAAGTGCTAGACATTTTCCTGCTCTAAAGTTTCTAACAGGGAACTTCTGCTTGGTTTTGGATTCAGGTCTTGTCGGTTCCTTGGCTGCCAAAATGACTTTTGTGAGGCAGATAAAACTTGGAATAGATTTGGTTCAACCTTTGCAGCCAGCTCCTACGCCTATGAAGTTTCTGAAACAAAACCCAGAGTCTCTGCGGGAAGGAAAAAAAAAAAATCCACCTCCAGCACTTTCGATTGTGGTTCAGTTCTCAGTCGGGTTTTATAGTTTGGTCTCGTCGCAGCCCTAAAATCGCCCAGCGAAGCCCCCTTTTGATCCGGCCATGCCTTTAATTCTTTTTCCCTTCGGAGCTGCGAGCCCCTGACAGAGCGGGCAGGGCGTGCGCGGCGCTAACAAAGGCCCGGGAGCGGCCCGGGGCCGGCCGGGAGCCAGGCCGGTGCGCGGCGGCTCCGCCGGCGCCGCGTCCCGGGACCGCCGCCGGTCCTGCGGCCGGTCGGCACGGCGCGCCGGCGGAATTCTGCGCAGGCGGAATTACCCGCACTACACGGTAGAAAAGAACAAGAAAGAAAAATACGAAACCACGCTAATGCCCGGGGTGCTGACTTGCTTTGAAAGCCCCGTTCACCCTCGCTCCCTCTGCCCGGTGCCCGCTGCCCCCACTCTGGGGGAGGCTCGGAGCGGAGCGCTCGGCGCGGCAGCAGCGGGCGGTGCTCGGGACCGGCGGGCAGTGGAGCGGAGGCGCTGCCCCGGGGCCGGCGGAGAAGGGGAAGGCGGTGGCGGGGCCCCGGAGCCGCCGTCTCTCGGCCCCCGCCCGCTCCCGCCCGCCGCGGTCCCGCCGCCGCCGCCGCCGCAACCGTGAGCGGCGAGGGACCCCTGGCGGCCGCGCCCGCTCCGCCCGCGGCCGCGCTGCCCCCGCCGCCCCGAGAGGGGCAGGAACCCTCGCGTCCCAGGGCACGGGGTGCGGGGTCCCCCCTCCAGCTGGTCCCTCGCCTTGGACGGGAAAGGACAAACGAAAACAAACAATAAGTGTGGCTGTGTGCTCGTGTCAGCCCCTCAGGGATGTGTGACTGTCTTGGCCGACCCCCGCCAGCACCCAGCATTCCACAGGGGTTTGGTAATCGGGAGACCAGAGGTTCTCTTCTTTTCTCGCAGAACCGAGCCCTTAGAGTCGCCCTCGGGTAAAGGCAGCCTGGGTCGACCCCCTCATCCAGCTCTTTCCCGGGGGGCGCGGAGGGCATAGGGATGCCCGAGCTTGTGTCGGACCGTGCTATTATCTGGAGGAGCAGCAGGAGTTGATGTTTGGGCAGATGCTGTTACTTTGCAAAACTTCTTAACATTCAGCTCCTGTCCAAAAATACAAAACATATTTTTGTATGAGTATGTACGAATAAATATTTTACATAAATATAAAACATACTTTTGTATGGGGGCAGCTTTGGAGGCCTCTTGGCTTTTTCCCTCTGCAGTTCAGTAACATCTTATGCGCTCATGGGCTTCCCTGGCCCTTTGCCTGCCCCTGCCCCTGCCCCCTACTTCATCCCCTTCCCTGCCCTTATCCCATGCCCACAGGGCTATGTGCAAAGCAGCAGAAGAGCAAAAGCTGATGGGTTTCCCTCAAGGAAAACCCAAAAGTGGCTTTAAAGAGTATAAAGGTTGCATTTGTATAATTCTGCACATGAACTGAAGAGATGATTCTGTGGGAACCATCCCGTTCCCTCTCTCTGGCACATTCATCACCCTACCATGCAGGCACAAGCACCTCACTTTTCCAAAAGCACAGCCCAAGACTCAGCCACAGCCAGCCTTGACATGGGGAATTGATACTGCTTCCCACTGTTATAAATAAAAATTTGTCCAGCCAAATTAATATGAAAAAATAAAATATTTCTTTTGCAATCAAATTCCATCTAGCCAGCCACAAGGAAAGAACAGAGCTGAGC